TTTTCAAAATTTAACTTTCCACGTGTTTAATAAAATCATTAGTTTGTAGGTTTAAGTTTAGCTTTGAATCATATGATTATACAAGATTCCTATTGGGAGACAATGACTTTATATTGCACCTAAATACTCGGTACTTCTACTAATGTCTGGGATGATCTCTATTTAATTAGATTAGACTAAGATGCCACATATTTTGATACTCTTATTTACTCATATATAATTCAAGATTCAGAAATAGAAACTGTCGAAGCATGACACGTATTCTTAGTAGACTTTTTCCTATGTTAATTGTCATACTAAGACATTTTTGAAACACTTCATCATCCCTATTCTACATCATTCCAAAGCTGGTTTATTGTCTTCACATTAAGTTATGGTTAGGATCCTGGCAAATAGTATCTTTTTTTCAATTTACAAATGATTCACACTTCTGACCAATTACTGAGCATGTTTTATCCTCATGCAGTCGTTCTTTATTTTGATTTTTAATGCACGATTAATTTTGCAAGAATGATTCTATAATCTCCTGGAAACTACAAGGTTTTTGAGTATCTTTATTGGGTAAAAACCTGCAGATAATGTATTGTTATGCAGTGAATGGAAGATGTCCTTCTCCTGGTCATCTCTGGTTGACTGGGTGTAATGGAGAAATGGAAACCCAACTGCAAAGGCTTCCAGGATTTGACAAATGGATCATTGAGAAGGAACATAGATCATACATCGATGCTTTGCAAGACCAGAAGGAAAATTTGGTCTACCTCACAGCTGATTCAGAAACTGTGCTTGATGACCTTGATCTAAAGAAAATATATATCATTGGTGGGTTAGTTGATCGCAACAGATGGAAAGGGATTACCATGAAGAAAGCACAAGAACAGGGAATCCAAACAGCAAAACTTCCTATAGGAAGTTACTTGAAGATGTCTAGCTCTCAGGTATACTTCGGTCTTCACATGCATATCATTTTTATCCGCATTTCATAGACTAAATTCTTTCATGCTAGACTTATAAAATGGCAGATTTAGAATACATGTGTGCTCCTTACTTTCTTCTAATTTTTATATTTTTATTGTGAGAAATTGAGCTTCTATTGAGAAAATGAAATAATATAATGGGCATATAAGAAAAAGAATATACTCATGTCAGACATGCGTTCCGAATATGTTCGACATTGGTTCTTCTCCTATATTAGTGTAGCCATGCTTCATATACTCCAACCAAATAAAACAAGGCCTAGCTGATCATTACAAAAAACCCTAACGATGGAAGCCCACAAAGAGACATTGAATCTAGCAACATTCCAAATCTCTTCCCAAGATCTTTTAACATCTTTGAAAATTTTGCCATTCCTCTTTGACCAAATACCCCATGAAATAGCAAAAAAATAAAACTAGCTAGTCAAAGGACATCATAAAACAACAATCATGGGTACGTGCCAATTATATAGTAAACGACTCCAAAAACAAATCCAAATAGACTAAGCAAATCGACTAATCCAAAGAACATGTTGTGATTCTAGGACGCTTAACACAAGATGCAAAGATGGTAAAGATGTGGGAACATGACGCAAAGAGGCTAATCTCTCGTGATCCCAACCAACAATTAATGAGAGGACTACCAAGGGATGTATTGGGAATATTAGTGGGGTGGTATTTTAGTGGTCTCTTAGTTATAAATATGGGGAGTTGGGCATGTTATAGAGGGCAATGATTTTAGGTATTGTCCTGTGTGTGACTTTAGCCCGAGCCTACCGCTAGCCGATAGTCATTTTTGGGATTTTCCTTCTAGGCTCCCCGTCAAAGTTTTAAAACGCATTCGCTAGGGAGAGGTTTACCCACCTTTAATAAGAAATGCTCCATTCCCCTCTCCAATGGAATGAAAAACAAATGGGAGATGAGGCATCAACCTGTCACAATGATGAAGAAGTCCTAACCAAATCTATAAGCATAGGTTTTTGAGATTACCTACTTACAAAATCACGAACTGACCTCGTATAATTTAGTAATTGTTGTCTTACAATATGTTGGACGTTTTCAATATCATTTCCAGGTCCTTACTGTGAATCAAGTCCTAGAGATTCTACTCAAGTATATAGAAACCAGAGATTGGAAGGCTTCTTTCTTCCAAGTCGTTCCTCAAAGAAAAAGATGTGAAGCTGAATGTAACAGTGACCATGCAGTAGATGGGGAAGAAAATGGAGATAGAGATGATGAGCAAGAGAGTAAGAAGATCAAGTGCGGTGAAGTATCTTCCAGTAACCATACTACTTTGTAATGGCTTTAACCAATTGTGAGACTTGCTACCTACCTATATTTTTGGTACTCATTATTTCTAAGTTAAAAGGATTCTTGTTTGTCATTGTTTTACCATTTTCAGTTTATGATTGAGAAGGAAGCAGTACAAATAAAATTTTGGAAAAATTACTTTTGCCTTAAAACTTAAAACTTATGAGACAAGTCACTTAAATAATTTTAATTTAGCATAATAGATGATTGGGAGAAAATGGAAAACTTTATATATTAATGAAAAACTACAGCTATTAATTTGATTTCAACATTTATACTTAATGATATTATGTTAATTTATGCATAGAATAACACATTCACGATTTAAAATAGAACATTAATTAACGGTGTCTGAATTGATTTAGTAGTATTAGAAAAACAAACAAATATAAAAAATAAAATCAATAGCCGCTTCCATAGCATAGTGGTATTGCGTTCGCTTCGTAAGCGAAAGGTCGCGAGTTCGATCCTCGCTGGGAGCTTTTATCTTTCATCAAATATTTTCCGAGAAATTTATGACGCAAAAAGATAAATAAATAAATAGAGAATTGATATCAATTATTAATATCAGCAGCCGGTTCTATAGCATAGTGGTATTGCGTTCGCTTCGTAAGCGAAAGGTCGCGAGTTCGATCCTCGCTGGGAGCTTTTTTTCTTTTTTATATTTTCCGAGAAATTTATGACACAAAAAGATAAATAAATAAACATAGAATTAATATCAATAATTAATATCAGCAGCCGCTTCTATAGCATAGTGGTATTGCGTTCGCTTCGTAAGCGAAAGGTCGCGAGTTCGATCCTCGCTGGGAGCTTCTTCCTTCATCATATATTTGCGAAATTTTTTACACAAAAAAAAACCAATAAATAAAAAGGAAATTCATAGCTATTACTCACCAACAGCCGCGCTTCCATAGCATAGTGTCATTGCCTTCGCTTCGTAAGCGGGAGGTCGCGAGTGCGATCCTCGCTGGGAGCTTCTTCTTTCATCAAATATTTGCGAAATTTATTGCACAAAAAAATAAAAATAAATAAAATATATGGTAGCCATTAATAATATCAACAGTCGCTTTCATAGCATAATTGCACTGCGTTCGCTTCGTAAGCGAAAGGTCTCGAGTTCGATCCTCGCTGGTAGCATTTTTCACATTAAATATTTTCGAAATTTATGACCCAAAAAATAAATAAATAAAGAGAAAATTTGTAGTGATTATTGATATCAACAGCCGCTTCCATAGCATAGCGGTATTGCGTTCGCTTCGTAAGCGAAAGGTCGCGAGTTCGATCCTCGCTGGGAGCTTCTTCTTTCATACATATTTGCAAAATTTTTTACACAAAAAAAAAAAAACCAATAAATAAAGAGGGAATTGGTAGCCATTATTAGCGCGGAAGGTCGCGAGTTCGATCCTCGCTGAGAGCTTGTTTTTTTTTTTCTTTAATCAAATTTTTTTCCGGTGCGCGCATCCGCTTCAATTATTTGAGTTTTACGCATTTATAAATAGAAATTTATGACAAAAAGATAAATAAATAAATAAAGAGAGAAGCGGTAGCCATTATTACAAAATACCCTTGAATTTTGGGTAATTTTAAATCGAAACTATATGTTTTTTTTTAAATAAACGATGAAAATTGATGTCACAATTGTTGTGTAAATATTAGAAGATAAATATAATTATACAGAATATTAAAATGATCCTTACTATTTATTTATATATTAATCCTATACATGTATGGTCATACCATTGCTACATACATGTGGGAGGTTTTTCGAATAAATCTTAATAAAAATAAATAAATGAATTTTTTTTATTTTGTTTTGTAATAAAATTTAATGTTTATTCTCACATAAATGAATTTAATAAATACGTACTATAATTAAATTTCAAAAATCAAACTTGTATAAAAAAATATGCTTTAAATTTTAAAGTTGATCTGAGCTTTAAACGTCTAACGATAAGTTCACTAATCAATAAGTTTAATTCTACTCTTTCTATGCTCCTTGTGGTTAACCGTAACTTAGGTTCAACCCTAGTCGAGTCAAATTTTACCAATAACCTTCAAAACGTATAAGAATTGATTGTAAGATTAAGACAAAAATTAAGAAGGCACAACGACACATGGTGAATGCTTTTGCAGTGGCAGACTATTGTAGTGAACCTTGCATGCAACAACGATTGAAAAACAAACAACGAAACGAATACCCGACAAATGAATTGTGAGACAATCAACCACTTATTGAGGGCAAAGTGCTCTCATACCCTCACAAACACGATGACAATGAAGATATGTTGCCATGAAAATGAAAGAAAAAGAAATCACTACATATGTTAAACTATAGCTATTGAAATCAATCGTGTTTGACAGTGTTTCAATGAAGAAATCACCTCGAGAATGAATTGAAAACTTCAATTGATCGAAGAAAAATGAATGATTGTTTGATTTGGGCAATCCTAGCTATCGTCCCATTAAAAGATTCTTGTGATATCGTTTCCGATCAGAAATATAGTGAAATAACCAACATTTCTTATTCTTTCCCGGACTGTGTGACTAAGAAAAATGTTCACTTCTAAAAATATCCAATTAAATTATTAAGTTAATACTAAAAAAATGGATGTTGGGCATAATAGATGCTAAAAAAATTTAACTAGTTTCAATAAATGGAATAAAAGAAGAACAAGAAAACAGTATAAGAATTAAACGGTTCTTAGATTGATCATAATAGATACTCTCTGAATTTCATCGTTTTGGGTTTAATCAGAAGGTTTCAGAATTCCGCTGTTTTTTCTTCCATTTTCAATCACGAACGCACGCTTCTTTATCCACACCCCCCAAAAAACCCATCTAATTTGCTCATTTTTTACTGAAATTTCCAGTTTCTTCTTCAAGCGGGATCCCTAATCAATGGTGCCCTTCAGCTGGGGCACTTAATCTCAGCCATATATGCCAGTTTCTGTTGAACAAACACTTGCCCAGTTGTTCGGAATCTTCGTTTCATTTCCGAAATCAAATGGGTCGCTCTCGGGGAAATTTTCAGTCCGACGAGGATCCGTCTCAGAGGTTAACAATGTTTCTCCCTTTCTCTGTGTATTTTCTTGCTATCAATCAGAACGTTTGCTGATTCGAGGTTTTACTGAAGTTTATGAAGATACCCTTTGCGTGTTCGATTGAGTCTTGCAATTTTCCTAATGGGGGAAGACATTTGAGTGCATAATCAGGGTGGCATACCAGTTTTGTTGGCTTACTTAAGTGGTTTTCTTCTGTACTAACTACAATTTGGGTGGTTTGTTCAATTTTTGGAACTTGGTTTCTCATTAATGTCAATGTCTGCTACTTATTTGCTGTGAAATTTGATGCCAGACGGTGTATTTTTGGTAATTATAGATTCATTATATGTCGTGTTCTGTTCTTTGGTTCAACATTTTGGTGATTTCTTTATCAGTTTTTGACTGGAAGACGTCTTAAGTCCGATCATCTGTTTGCGTTTTTGTGTAATATTTCATGTGTTTATGCTTCAAAGATATCTATGCTCATTTTTTTAATTTGAACATTCACTCTTGATGCTGCAGATCGAGGAGAAAAAGGAATTCTTCTAGTGGAGATAATTTGGAATCTACATCACCAGGTTGTTTTCTACTTTGATTAATTGTTTTTGGAACTAGTTGTTGTACTGATTCTTCCTGAACCGTTCTACATTCCGTTCGATAAGAATTTATTTTTGATCTACAAGTCGAGAGCTGTTATTTAAATATATCGTGTGCTGTTGTTTTGAACTACTTATTTGTCTCACATTTTTTTCTCACCTTCAAACTTATTTGGGAGAAAGGTCAAGGGCCAGCTGAAGGCAAAAAAGCCTTATACCACTGCAATTATTGCATTAAAGACATTACAGGGAAAATTCGCATCAAATGTGCCATGTGCCCTGACTTCGACCTTTGTATAGAATGTTTTTCGGTTGGAGCGGAGGTGAAACCTCATAAAAGCAATCACCCATACAAGGTTATGGTTAGTAACGCCCCCAATGGATTGTATTTTCTCTTAGATCTGATTTTCTTTTAAAGCGAGCTAGTTCAATCCGAGACGAGTATTTTTGGATGTCTTCTCTATTTCATAAGTACCTCTGGTTTTCCCTCTGGATAGAGTTACGTCTCAAGTTGAAATGAATGATTCGTTAAAGCGTTACAGTTTCTGCTGAATTCGATTTGAACCCGATATGCATATTCTTTCGTTGAACGTGTCTTCATCTTGACAGGATAATTTATTTTTCCCACTCATTTGCCCGGACTGGAATGCAGATGATGAAATATTACTTTTAGAGGTATGTTATTTTCTACCAATGTCCTTTGGCCTGTATGTTCTTCTTTTGCCCTGAATATTCATATTTCATAATGTAGGGGATTGAGATGTATGGCTTCTGGAATTGGACAGAAGTTGCTGAGCACGTGGGAACGAAGAGTAAAGAACAATGCATAGAACATTATTCAAGTGTATATATGAACTCCCCGTATTTTCCTCTACCGGTACGATATTCTCAACAATTTTGATTCTCCTAGAACCTTGGTTCTTCCAAGTAACTTGTGGATTGTTCTCAGGACATGTCGCATGTCGTTGGAAAAAATAGAAAGGAGCTCCTTGCTATGGCTAAAGGGCATGGTGAAGACAAGAAAGGTTAGTGAGACATTCATCTTTATGTTACGAGCTACATCGGCAATCCACTTGGCGAGGGACATCCTGTCACACTATGACATGTAGATAAATCTTGCAAGAACTATAATTTTGTCAAAAAAAAAAAAAAAGAGAGAGAAGTATTCATTAGGTCCTATTATGTAACAACTTGCCCACTGCTAGCAGATATTGTTCTCTTTGAGCTTATTCTTTCAGGCTTCCCTTTAAGGTTTTTAAAAACGCGTTTGCTAGGGAGAGGTTTCCACACCCTTATAATGAATGCTTTGTTCTCTTCCCAACCAATGTGGGATCTCACAATCCACTCCTCTTCGGGGCCTAGCATCATTGCTGGCATTCGTTCCCTTCTCCAATCGATGTGGGACTCTCCAATCCACCCCCCTTCGAGACCCAACATCCTTGTTGGCACACCACCCCCCTTCGGGGCTCAGCCTCCTCACTGACACATCACCCGGTGTCTGGCTCTGAACTATTTGTAACAGCCCAAGCCCACTGCTAGCCGACATTGTTCTCTTTGGGGGCTTTCCCTCAAGGTTTATAAAACGCGTCTGCTAGGGAGAGGTTTCTACACTCTTATAAAGAATGCTTCGTTATTCTCCCCAACCATGCGAGATCTCACACATTATCCAGAGATGCTGTGACATATAAATTTGTCTTGGATGATAAGTTAATTTTGTGGGAAACGGATTATTTAATAGATTGTGTTAGGTCGTGAGTTTTCCTAGGAAAAACTGACCAATGTTTCTTTTGCTTCTCGAGAAACAAGCTCTAGCCTCACGAGTCGAAGGAATAATTGTTAACTAATGCTAAATTTCTTTTATCTCTATTATTGTGCTTTATTCCAGATGATTCTGATATTGCTTTGATGATGCAGCTTATGATTAATGTGTTATAATGCTGCAGGATTTTCAACGCTTGGAGAGCTTAATTTGAAGGAAGAGCCCCCGTATTCGCCTTCAAGAGTAAAGTATATCAACCTTGCCATTGAATGACTTTTCTCTTTTTTCTTCATTTCCCTACCTTCGCATTAATATTTCCTTTTATTCTCAGAGTTGAAGATATACATAAAGCAGATCCTTCTGGCCGTTTATCATCAAGCTCTACATCAGGTGAGGTGTACATGTCTATTGTTGTTGATCGATTGTGAATGTATATCGTGTTTAATGGACAAGGTGATCATTGGATACTTTGCATGTTCATTTTATTGTAGAAGAAGGTAGCTTCAATACGGCCGCTGCCATTGCCAACAAGAAAGCATCATCTGCAAATCAAGTTAAAGATAGCCTCGTTAAAGTGGAAGGTCTAGTGCAGATAAACTCTTGAGATTGCAATTGTGTATCTTTCTAATCGATCTTAAAACTTATCCTTTTACTGGAAGCTTGTGTAGCTATTCATATTCGATTTTCATTTTAGTGCATACGAGCTCTCGAAATCTCCAGCCAAGGCTTTCTTTCTATACTGTTCTCTTAGATAGGAGTCATAAAACAATACGTTGTTCATACTGAAGGGATGGACAACGTAGATTATCTAGTCTTTCTTTTTGCTCAACATTAGCCAGAGTATGTCATTATGAATCTTAGTTTCATTAGTGGACATATTCTTCCCTTCCCTACTCTCTCTTTCAGCAGATGATCATATGGATTCAATGGAAAGGCGATAATACAGTCACACCCTTGTTTTATATTTCTTCAAATACTCTTTTTAGAGGACCTGCGATGTTGAAGCTAAATTTGTATGATGATATAATGGCAGATTCTCAAACAGACCGGAGCTTTAATGGGAAGAAACCTAATGTTCAAGCATCCAAGGGTCCTTTATTAGAGCTGAGTGGTTACAATGAGAAGAGACAGGAGTTTGATCCAGAATATGATAATGATGCTGAGCAGCTGCTAGCAGAGATGGAGTTTAAGGATGCTGACGGTGAGGACGAGCGTGAGCTGAAAATGAGAGTGTTGCGTTTATACTCAAAAAGGTAAAAGTTTGTAACTTTTTTGTTGGCTTTACATGTTAGGAAAAACATCCATCAAAACTTCTTTACCTTTCCATTGTTTCTTTGGTTTTTACTCTCTAAATCTTATATAGTGATGTTACTATCCTGCAGGTTGGATGAGAGGAAGCGGAGAAAAGATTTTATATTACAAAGAAATTTACTTTATCCAAGTTCTTTTGAAAAGGAATTATCAGCTGAAGAGAGGGCGATATGTCGTCAATATGATGTCTTCATGCGTTTCCATTCAAAGGAAGAACACGAGGAATTGCTTCAAACAATTGTTGCAGAGCATCGGACCTTGAAACGAATTCAAGAACTTAAGGTTTTAAAACTCGATTTTCATGCAGATTTACGTTAGATTCTTGTTTTCTTATTCTTTTTACGAATGTTGTATGCTGCCAATATCGTGTAACTCGTCTGATAATTGCTTAACTAATACATTCAGTTCTCTGCGTAGTTTTGATGTGCTACATTCACAAATGCTTATACAGGAGGCTAGAGTGGCTGGATGTCGTATACCGAGCGAGGTAGAGATCTTTCTTGATAAGAAAAGGAAAAGAGAATCTGAAGGAGCTGATCATAGAGTGAAAGAAAGTAATCTTACAGGCGCTGGAAGTCGAGGCAATTCAATCATGTTCACTCCATCCGAGTCCGCTGGGAAGGATTCAAAATCACGACCAGCAGTGCAGGCTCTTTCTGGCTCTGTCAACAACTTCGATATGTTTGGCGCAGATTTTCTTTCTGAAGCTGTAAGTGCAATCTCCCACTTACTAAATGAACATCTTAGAGCTTTTTTTATTCACATTTTTCTTGATTTGAGATCCCAATTATTGTGAAAACCATTCTTTAAGAAACAACCCCGTAGGCATTTCCAATTATTGTGAAAACCATTCTTTAAGAAACAACCCTGTAGGCATTAGTGTAAATGCACCATTAGTCTTTTCATTAGTCTTATGACAATAATCTCAACTATCTACTTGAGCCTATCCCAGGGAAATCTCAGTGCCTTCCCTTGGAACTAAGCTGCTACACTGCTTTATTTCTGTAGCTCCACAACCAAGTCTTCACTAGATTAAGAGAACTCTTTGGTAATCAAATGGAACTAGAAACCTTGGTGAATAAGAGTGTAATCTCAACTAAGCTACCAATTCTATTCAATTTTGGACAGCTTTCAGCTTTTATTAGCCAGCTCCCTTTTGACAGCTTTTTCGAACTAATGTTTGTGAGATGTACTGTTATTATCATATTCATTGACTCTGAACCTTTGTTTAGAATTCAAAGATACCGATGTACAACCTATAGAACACAAAGATACCGATGTACAACCTATAGAACAGATCCTATTCAAGTATAGTCATATCAACTACTCTGAATCATTCATGTATGTTTGTATACCACAAACTGAAAGATTCATGTATTAGCAGAAAGAAATGCACAATTTTCTTTTTCCTTTTAACAGAAATTGTAACAGCCCAAGCCCACCGCTAGCAGATACTGTCCTCTTTGGACTTTCCTTTTCGAGCTTCCCCTCAAGGCTTTTAAAACGCATCTGTTAGGGAGAGGTTTCCACACCCTTATAAAGAATGCTTCGTTCCCCTCTCCAATCGACATGGGATCTCACAATCCACACTCCTTTGGAGGGGCACAGCGTCCTCGCTGGCACTTGTTCCTCTCTCTAATCGATGTGGAATCTCACAATCCACCTCTCTTTGTGGCTAAGCGTCCTCACTAGCAGTGTGCCAGCAATAAGCACTGAAGGGGGGTGAATTGTGGATCCCACATCCATTAGAGAGAGAAACAAAGCAGACACGTTTTAAAAACCTTGAGAAGAAGCCCGAAAGGAAAAACCCAAAAAAGACAATATTTTCTAGTGGTTAAAATCTCACCAAAACGGTAATCCATCTTAGAAAACAGCAGACTTGTCTTACTTTATGTCTTCTTAGTGTTGGGAAAACATTATTTGATGAAGTGTTTTACTGAAGGAGTTTGTATTTTGGTTGGATTGGCAGGAAAAAAGCCTATGCAGTGAAATCAGAGTAACTCCACCCCTTTACCTAAAGATGGAAGAAGTTCTATCAGTAGAGATTTTCAATGGGAATGTAACCAAGAAATCTGATGCCCATCACTTATTCAAGATTGATCCAACCAAAATCGACAGAATCTATGAGATGCTCATAAAAAAGGGTATTGCTCAGCCTTGATATTCTTCATTTTCTTTTTGTAGCTTAATTGTTATCTCTTGATGAAATGGAAGAACAGTTAGAACTAGGAGCAACTCACCACTATTTATACCGTAATATCAATAACTTGTGTTATATATATTAAAGCTTTAAACTCTTTATTACTCATTCAACACCCATTTGAATAAACTCCACAAACAAATGGCCAAGGATGTATGTCCAAATTAACATTATTAGCATGGGTATATCTCTCTGTGGAATTCAGTGAAGCCATTATAGGGCTCTGCTGCTTTTATAATCATTACTAAATATTGACAAGTGTCAAGAAATTTCGTCAAGTCTTGAGGAAACAGACACCAGAGAGGGACCAAATCATAGTTCCATCTCAAATTTCCATGTCTCCTCAACAATTTGTGGGATGAAAATTAGATACTTATGGAAGGTTTGTCCTAGGGCTCCAAAAATTGAGTTCTAGAATTGTATTAGATTGGCCTTCAGGTTCCTCGGGTTGGAGGTATGCATTTAACATGCCTCGTTTGTCAAAGTAGTAGTCGAGGACGAGCATGGTTATAGCTCGGCCTCAGGTTTTAGCCACTTTCTAGTATGATATAGTCCCCAAATTTACCCAATCTCGAATACGCTCATTTGGTCCAAAATGACTCTATAACATTATCTCACTCTTCAATTTGGGTTCATGGCTCAACTTGGCTCAACTTGGGAGTATTTCTCTTTACTATACTTTCTTACATGTGTTTTTTAGTAACCAAAATTTGCACTCTTATAGCCCAAGCAAGATCCGTCTCGAACTTTGGGCATGTTAGGACTAATTGACCTAACTCTTTTAAAGTTCAACCAACTTTCGAGCGTGCTTTTTTTTATCCTTATATGAACTATATACGTTGTAGTCACTTTTTACCGTGAGTATTAACATATCAAATTTTGTCTATCTTTGATTTAAGGTGATCCCTAAACATAAGCCACACCGAAAATATTAAATAGAGCTTTTTGAGGTCCAACTAGGCTTCACGTGCACATCGAGCATAATTAAACAATGTTTAGTGCAAAATTTAAGTCGTAATCATCTTTGACAATGAGGTCTTTTGTTATTTGGGGTTGGGGTGGGTCCTTTACCATGAGCTCTACTAAAAAACATTGGCTAAGTTGTCCTTGTATTCAACCTATTTTTATGTTTTCATCCTCCTACACTTAAAAGAAAAGTTATCATGCTTGCTATGGACTTGGACATGTTGCCTATCTTTTGCTATGGACTTGACATGTGACTTTGGTCTAACTTCGGGTGGTGCCTAAATTTGGAAATTTTGTCTTTGGCTAACCAATTCGATCCATGATTTGACCATTTAATCTTCAAACATGGGAATTATTATCCAAGGCGTGTTGCTTGAGATAAGAGTTATGATAATACATTTTTATCATAGAACTGTATAGTGGTTTTTTGTTTGAGATAAGAGTTATGATAATACATTTTTAGGTGTTATGTGTCACGGTCATGTTTGTCCAAGGCGTGTTGCTTGTGACCGCATGTTGGATATCCTGACCATACTTATACTGGACATGTTAATTATGACCACACGTATGTTCTAAATCCTTTTACTTGCTTTCATGTTAGATAAACTTTTTTCTAGTTCACGTTGTGTTAATATAGGGGTGTATGACTAAAATCATGTCTACACTCGTCAAGGCTAAAATGCCCCAAAATGTACTAGAGAGGGACGTGACTAGTTGTCAATTCTTCCTACACAGGTTATATGCTAAGTTGTTGTTGTTGTTACTCACTTTTAGCTTATAACATTACATTTTGTTCTCAAACGAGACCCGAGGCTCAAGCATACGTCGATATTGTCCGTGAAGTTCGAATTTCACACGTCTGACTTGTTTGCTAAGTTAAAACAAATGTGACACAATCGTTATTCTGCTATAAGAATACAATGGTAACATTATGCATTCCATGATGAGAGAGTGTCTTTCCTTCCTGTTCAACTAAAGCATACATGCTAAGTGGAATTACTCTAGTAACTTGATATAGACCTTCCCATATTGGCTCGAGTGCTCCTGTGGTCGAATCTCGAGTATTCCAACAACATACAAAAGGGAAGGGGAGACACGCCTCCAGGTACGCTCACAAACCGTAACTCTTGCTAACTTACGAAACATCTTAATTGATTCAAGCATTAGAGTGTAATCACAAGTTCTTACACTGATACCTTAGTCATTCGTTTTGCAGGTAGCTTCATCTCTTTTCTTCTCTGAGTTCATGCAGAATCACCGTAGTTAAAAGGGTAGTTTATCTTTACTTAACCGTTACAAAAGTCTAGAGGATTTAACCATCGACATGTATTTTTCATTTCCAAAAAGAAAAGATGAAGGAAAGGAAATGATTTTGATTTTGGCAATCAAATAAAGCAAGGATAGCGACGTTTAGAGTGAGGCAATAATGGTAAGGTCTTTCATGGGATCCGACGAGAAGAAAAGGATAGAACACTTTGAGCCTCAAAACCAAATAATAACCCTAATCTCCATTTCTTCATAACTCCACGTGTCCCCTTCTCCTTTATCCCTCCATCCCTTAATTCCATCACTTTCATGGACAAACCCCAGAACCTTCCACCCTCTCTCTCTCTCCTCCTTTTTTTCTCATATCACTTTCTCTCTCCCCCAAAATAACCTTCTCCTCTCATACCCTCCCTCATGTCCTCAAGGTCATTTCAGTCATTTCCCCACTTGAAACCAGCTCGTTTTCATGGGCATGGAAGAGCTTCAAGGACCACTATAAAAGAAACAGAACATGGCAGCTCTGTGTACTTACTTAACCCAAATCCCCCAAAAACCTCTCGTTTTCAAGAAAAAAGCTCTCATTTTTGTGATTCCCTTTCAAAATGGAGAAAAGGGTAGAAGCCATAAACATGGATTCATATGAAAGTTTGGATCTTGATAGAACATCATCAACAAGCAATAATGTTGAGAGGTTGAAAAGGATGGTGAAGTTCATAGTGTCAATTTGTGTGTTTTCTTTGGTTTTGGCATTGTTTTTTTCCTTCTTCTCTCTCTTCCCTCATTCATTTACTGTCTATTTCTCCACTTTCCTCTTCTCTCTCCTCAGCCATGGCATGGAGAGAAAGTTCATGTTCTTGATCTGTAATGGAATCCTGTTTCTTCTTGCCACTTCCTCTGTTCTTCAAGATTCTTCTCCTCCTTCTTCCTCCTCCTCTTTTGGGTATTCTTCATTTTCCCATTCTGTTCATCATGATCAATTTGAACATGATCTTGTGGCTGCTGCCTCTGATGGGTATGATTCTGATGAATCAGAACACCAAAATCAAGAACATGAAGAACAAGAAGAAGAACATGAACAAGAAGATGAAGAAGATGATGAAGATGAAGAAGATGAAGGGTGTTTTACAGAGGAAGTTGAAGAAGAAGAGGAAGAGGAAGAAGAGGCAAAAAGGAGGGATTTAGAGGTGGTGGTGAGTACAGAAGAATTGAACAAGAAAATAGAAGAGTTTATAAGGAAAATGAAGGAGGAAATGAGGATTGAAGCAGCTCAAACTCAGCAGCTCATTGCAGTGTAATTGATAATATTTTATAACAGAAGCTTTTTGATGTTTTTAAGGTTCGTGTGTTTTCGTGTTTTGTGTTTTTAATAAAATATCAGATTCTGGAAATATTGAACAATTTTGGAGTGAATTTACTGCTCAAACAATCATAAAACGTACTTAATGATCACAGTCTCGATGGTGCAACAGCGCCACGATAGGATTATCGACCATTATAACAAGATCCCAACTCTAATAGAAACGAGTAGCAATCTCTCTTTTATTCTATTTGCTTGTAATACTATGTCTATCGAAGTTGACGAACATTTTTCTAACTTTAGACTCGTTATGGTGTTTGATTGAACTCGTCGTTTTCGCGTCTATTGAAAGTAGGTTATCGTCGTTACAATTAGCATTTGGTACTCTTTGATAGCTTCTCTCATTTACGTCAGACTTTTGGTGTAATGATTTATAAGTCCTTCATTTTATTTGTATTTTGTCCTTAATTAAGAAGTATTTTTATCATTTTATGTGATATCTTTCATTAAAGAGACGAAAAATGAAATTGGATGTGAAACTCTACTTTTTTTATCGAAAATAATTGTCTATAAAGTATAAAAAATCGTCAACTTATTTGACACAAACCGCTAACACTGCCATACATTATTTTTTGTCGTTAAAAACTACTATAGATCTAAATTTATTATTATTAATTTTTTTTGCACCCTCATAAATATATATTTTTTAATGTAATACAAAATAGTTTTTATTTTTATAATATATATATTTGTATATTTTAAGGAAATAAAAAAAAAAAAATCGACATTAATATTAATTAATAAATGGTGAATATTTTCTAAAAAGTTTAGGATCCATTTGTTGTGCAAATTTAGATTATATGTGTTTCTTACTCTCAATTCAATATATAAAATTAATTTAATGAAATCTAATTGAAGGAAGTTTTTTAATTATTAATTTGGAAAGTATCATTTTTATATTTTTAATATCCAAAATTTAAATTATAAAATATTAATTTATTTATAGCATTCAATTTAAAAATATATTTTAAAAAATTAATAAATAATAAAAAATAATTACAAAATTAAAATAAAATAAATATATACCTATATAATTATATCATTTATTTAAATACAATCCAACCCAAATAAGTTAACGACTCAATCGACAGAACTCAAAAGTTTGGTTTGTGGGATCGTTGAGTTCTTTTAACATTCCTAATTGATCGAGAGCTATGCTTTCGTAAAAATTAGATGCTTGAATATCCGCTAATATGAAAAAGCAACTTTAATCACTTGAACGACTAATTGAGTTGGGTTGGTCGGGTCATCCAATTTTTCAAACATCCCTAATGGATCGTTGTTTAAATATATACCCGTAACTAAGAAGGGTCGGGAAAGGCAACTTTAATGAACATTGGAAATTGTAAAGCAAAATGAAGTACTTGAAGGATTGTACTTTAAACAGCATCAATAAGGGGAAGAACACACAGTAAACCCAAGGAGCGAAAGTGTTGGGATCTTTTTGGTTCGACAATTACAACACAATTTACTATGATTCCTTCTTCCATTATCATTCATTCATCCGACAATTACTTTTCCCGATTTGTCTTCTTCCACTTCGTTCAATCCCCTAAACCCAAAAATCGACCTCTCAAATCCCATCGTG